GAGGCTTTCCATGAAGCCCAAATGTGCAGAGGGAAGGGGCTACAGAAAGAGAAACAGGCAGGTGTTCAAATTGCTTCAGACCTGCATCAGATTCAAAGCATATGAGCTTTGGGGCAAACCAAAAAAAGTCAGCAATTCTTAAAAGCAAAAGTTTAGTAAAATGCCTGGTATTCTGATCTAAGGACACAAGTGTAAACAAGACGGTTCCTGGTTTTACAAAATTTAGAATCTATCATGGAAAACAGCCATGAAAATAAGAGTCAAGGGACTTGAGCAAGGGAGTCCAGAGAGGAGATCCTAGCATCACTGGGGGTCAGGAAGCTAAACATAGGCAGGGACCTGTGAATTAGCCACCTGATGGGGTCCAGTTAAAGGAACGTAACCATGGACAGTAGCGCTCCAGGTACCACAGCTACCCTGTGAGGGGCGTGGCAAGCCACCTTAGTTTATGTTCCTGAGGGTGATCCAGCACTAGACTACAAACTCCACAACAGTCATGTCTACGTAGCTACCACACAATGTGTGACATGTAATACGAACTCAGTAAGTGATGGCCAGTGGCTGAATGGGCACTCAGTTGTTAATGGTTTCTAAATCTAGGAAGACTCTTAACTGTACAAAGTCTTTTATTTCACATTAGAGAGATTAAACTTGCATTTGCTGGTCAAGCTGACCAAGTCACTAAGAATCATCAGACTCTAGACAATTATTTGGGGAAGGGTAGTGGGAAAGGTGACTTGAGCAGGGTCAGTGGGAGAAATGCTGCTGACTGTACTTTTTGTCCAGGGCTAGAATCACCTCTCTGCTGAACAGAAGCTGAGCAGGACACCACAGATGATTGTGGGTTCACTGTCACATTCTACTAGTAAGGAGCAATTCTATCTGGACGATTCCTTCAGTAAGGGAATGGCCCTGTGTATGTGCAGATGGTGTTAGGGACCGTGACACATGGGGCTAAAGAATGCTACAAGGCTCCAGGCGCCTCATCCCTGTCTTGTGAAATGCTCTGCTTCAGACTTTCAGGATGTCTGCATAGCAACAGCCTTACAGGGAGCAATATGCAGGCTACTTACTGCCTGTTCTAACAGTCTGGGATTCCTAAACTCAGGGCTCCTCTCTTGTAGGGCAAGTTGGTGTATGTGTGTGACAGGAGGCATGAATGCACGCTCACCCTGTGACTGTGTGCAGCCAGTCTCCTGGGGACTTGAATGCAAAAGTAGCTGACGCAGATAGGCTGAGGCTCATCCTTCTAGCTGGGTGAGTGATAGGATCCTGTCTCTGACTCAGGAGTGTCCTGTCTTCTGCCAGCAGCCAGTAAGCTAGCAACTGACCTGTGAGCTTACAAGTAGGGCAAAACCTTTGCAGTTCCTGACACACCCTTTTTAATTAACTCTCACAATTTGGCATTCTTGGTCATTCCTGATAAATGTGGTTAACTGTGGGTTCTTATCTGCTAGCTGCTAGCTACAATATAGTAAACGTGTTTAAAAGACTAGAAAATCTAGGGGCTGGAGAGATGGCTCAGAGGTTAAGAACACTGTCCTTGCAAAAGAGCCGGGTTCGAATCCCAGTGCCCACATGGCAGCTAATAACTGTCTGTAACTCCAGTTCCAGGGGATCCGACAGCCTCTTCTGTCCTCCAGGGGCACTGCATGACACGGATGCACTTACCTACATGCAGGCATAACACTCACACACATAAAATAAAAATAATAAATAAAAATTTTTTTAAAAGGCTAGAAAGTCTAAAGGCCTTTGCTATGGTTTCAGTATGAGATATCCACACAAGCTCACTGTTGAAGTCTTGGTCCCCAGATGGGGACGCTATAAGGATGTGGTAGAGACTCTAACTGGGGAGGCCTGTCTGGGGGAAGCAGGTCACTGGGGGCATGTATCTTGTCCTGCAACCACCCCACCCCACTCTCTTTCTCTGTCTCTCCCTTTCTCTGCTTCTTGGCTACCACAAGGTGAGCAACTTTGCCAAGCCCTCCCCCATGAAGGACTAAAAATCTCTGAAACTATAAGCAAAAACCAATCCTCCCCTAAACTTATCTGTCAGATATTTTTGTTGCAGCAACATAAAAGTGAAATGTCCCTTTATTTGCTTTCCAAACAGGGATCTGCTAAACTGGCAGTCAGCCAGCAACACAGCACTTGAGGAGGACATCAAAAATCCAAAAAGAAAACAAAAACTAACAAAACTGAGCCAGGCGTGGTGGTGCATGCCTTTGATCCCAGCACTCGGGAGGCAGAGGCAGGTGGATGTCTGTGAGTTCAAGGCCAGCCTGGTCTACATAGTGAGTTCCAGGACAGCTGGGGCTACAGAGAGACCCTGTCTCAAAAAGACCAAAAAAAAAAAAAAAAAAAAAAAAAAAAACTAACAAAACTGAAAACAGGTGAAATAACCTGGAGAGAAACTATTTTTACAAAAAATATAATCATCTTTATTTCAGTTTTCCACGATTAAGCAGATCTTGTTGAGGTAAACAAGGGCGAATAATACAGTGCAAGCTGTTTTGGTTTTGAAATGGTCTGCTAAGCCAAGATCTGTATCTATCAAAGGCAGAAATGCTCTTTGATCTTTCTGAACCACTTGTCTTCAAATTCTTTGGAGGATGCGATCACCAAGCCAGTCAAGGCTGCAGGGCCAACACACTTCACCTCGGAGTGAAGTTCATCTTTTATTTTTTCTGGGACAATATCTTCCCCCATAACCTGTAGCAGGAGAGGGAATAAGAAAAAGAACTGTCCCAGTTGAAAAGGCAGCAAACACAGAGTGGAAGACGATTCATGCTGAGCAGCAACACTGTTCCCGCTGTTATCCAAGGGTCACGGGGGTCAGGTGCCCTGTTTCCACTCTCATCCTTCCCCAAGGGAAGGAATTCCTGCCATGCTAATGTGGCAGCTGCCCCACCAGGCCTCCTGGGAACAGAGTCAACCTTTGCATGCCAAAGAACATTCTGTTGTAAGAATGCATCTGTGCATTATGTATATGAGAGGGCATCAGATCCCTTGGAACTAGAGTTACAGACAGTTGTTAGCTGCCATGTGGGTGCTGGGAATCAAACCTGGGTCCTCTGCAGCAGCCAGTGCTTTTAACCACTAAGCCATTTCTCCAGCCCCCAAGTTTTTGTTTTTGTTTTTTTTAAACAATACATCTGTGATATTCTCTCTCCTGGAAAAAGGCAGAGGCTGAACAGGTGAGGGCAGAGTTTGGTTAGAATACAATGTGGGAGCCAGGGCCACTGAGCTATTTCCTGCAAGTTCACCAAAGAAGTCAAAGGCAAAGAATCAATCAGCAAGTTGCTCTGTCTACCTCGTATCTACCTAGAAAGAAACTCCAACACTCCAAAGTCAAAGCAACCTTGGGGACCTAGCACATACCCCCAGCAAAGGCCCAATACTGCTCCCTACTGGTCACAGTTACAATTCGGGGAACACAGGTCAAGGCCCTGGATTCTGACCTACAAGACATCACAAAGTTAGAAAAGCTTTACCTAATTAACCTCACCAAGTGGTCCTTTGGTAATGATAGTAAATTAAAATGAAGTCCAAACCCATTTCAGGTCATTCAGCACAAAAGGTTATGGTGCTGGGAATCAAACCTGGGTCCTCTGCAGCAGCCAGTGCTTTTAACCACTAAGCCATTTCTCCAGCCCCCAAGTTTTTGTTTTTGTTTTTTTTAAACAATACATCTGTGATATTCTCTCTCCTGGAAAAAGGCAGAGGCTGAACAGGTGAGGGCAGAGTTTGGTTAGAATACAATGTGGGAGCCAGGGCCACTGAGCTATTTCCTGCAAGTTCACCAAAGAAGTCAAAGGCAAAGAATCAATCAGCAAGTTGCTCTGTCTACCTCGTATCTACCTAGAAAGAAACTCCAACACTCCAAAGTCAAAGCAACCTTGGGGACCTAGCACATACCCCCAGCAAAGGCCCAATACTGCTCCCTACTGGTCACAGTTACAATTCGGGGAACACAGGTCAAGGCCCTGGATTCTGACCTACAAGACATCACAAAGTTAGAAAAGCTTTACCTAATTAACCTCACCAAGTGGTCCTTTGGTAATGATAGTAAATTAAAATGAAGTCCAAACCCATTTCAGGTCATTCAGCACAAAAGGTTATGTAACCATCTAGCAGGAATGCTGTACAAGGAATATAAGTCACACAGGTTTGAACTAAACTTACATGGTTCCGACATATTTGGAAATCTCATGTGTCCATGAAAACAGTCAGAAGCGCAATCAAAGAGTGGTTCTTCACAGATTACACAGTGTGTGTGCATGTTTTTCGAAGTATATGCTTGTGTGTGCACATGTGTGGGAGGTTGCATGTGCCCATACTCATACATGCACAGGCCAAAGGATGCCTTCCTCTAGCACTCTCTGCCTTATTCCTGAGACAGGGCCTCTCACTGAACCTTAAGCTTGCCATTTTGGTTAGGCTGGCTGGCCAGCAAGCTCATAGGATCCACCTATCGCTGTCCCCCAACTATGGCATTACAGGCACTTGCAACCATGCCTGACTTTTCCATGGGTGCTGGGCATCTGAACTGAGGGCCTCATGATTGTAGAGCAAGAACTCTTACCCACTGAGCTATCTCCCCAGGCCAAGAAGCCCTCCACCACTCTACCCATGAGAACACTCACCATGAGTTAAAAATTCAGCACTGAGCTGATGTGGCTCAGTGATACAGCATGCATAAGGCCCTGGGTTCTCCCAGCACCACAAAATAAATAAGTTAATTCAGCACTGAAACAAAGTGGCCATATTACTTAAGATTCAAAAGTGGGCAGGCGCTAACAAGACTGATGAGAACAAGAAATCCAGCTATGCACAGTTCTAGCATAGGGCAGGGGAGTGATGATGAACAGCTGGTATGATGACTTGGGTAACCAAAAGGTACGCAAAGGATGTAAGTCCTTCCAGAGACACAATCTGGTCCTGTAAAGCAAAAGTGCCGTGACCTTTGCTTTACATATGCCCAAGGGAACACTCACCTCCTCTATCAACAGCAGAGCATCTTCTGTGAAGCTGAATCCCTTCATTTTATCTGCAATTTCCTGCTGGGTCCTCAAGTTCTTCTCCAAAGCAAATGATGTTTGCTGAGGTTGGGTGAGCTGAAGCAAAAGCCTGAAAAACCAGAAAGTCCCAGAGTTTGGGCTCCACCACAGGACAGCAGCAGAGCTTGTAGGGAGCCTGACGTTCTCCTCTGGGCTAGAGAAGGCTCCTGGCCTCACCAGACCTACAGCTCCTGACTCTGAATAAGCTGCCTCCCTTTATATTTGAGACAGACCTTTTCTAAATAAGGGTTAGGAGCAACACCTCAAAAGAGCAGCCAGGTGTGATGTTTGAGGGTAGCCTAGGCTACACAGTAAGGGTCTAACTGGAAAACAAACAAAAGGCTTCCTGTGGAAGGCAGGTGGCTGAAAGGAAAAACAACATATTGAGAACAAGCTTTCAGTCAGACTCTAGTCACACAGCGTCCTGGTTTGTTCCTGTGACATCAGGAACAGTGAATATCCTGTAAAGCCCAAAGAGACCGGACCTCAAGGCCTACTTAACTTTGCTGGCATGCGTCAGGACCAAAACAGGGCTGAACCTCTGATGACCACTTTCAATGGCTTTACCAATGTCCCCAGTGACTGTCATTCTTTCTTCCCCTCTGAGCTTGACCCTGTTTCCCAATGAGGAGCTCTGGTTAGACATCCCACAGGCACCTAAATCTCAGGACATCAAACTCAAATCATTCCTTGCACCCTGAATCTGCCCTGCCCATCCTCTTGCATGCTCCATTGTCAGCAAAAGGCACCAGACACACACCTCCTCCATGCACCCAGGGTAGACTCTTTTCAGTCTCCTCCTCACCCCTATCCTTCCCATACACTCAGCAGGTCACCAAGTGTTATGTGGTCCATACTGTACTGACACCCTTTTCTTCTTTTATCACCACTGCTCTCGCCGAGGTCAGATCCATCAATGATTAGTTATTCCACCGCCTCTCCATTGTTGCCCAAAGCTCCAAGGGGCTTCTTCCAGCCCATGATCTCAGCCCCCTTCTCTGGATCACAGATCTGATCATGCTCCAATCCAAAGCCTTCAAAGACTCTTTGGGCCTTCAGCACAAGGACCAGAGCTTTAAGATGACACCCAAGCCAGGAGTTGTGGCACATGACTAGAATCTTGGCACTGGGGAGGCTAAAGGAGCATTACAAGTTCCAGGTCAACCTGAGTTGCCTATCAAACCCTGCCTGAAGAAAAATCAATAAGCAAAAAATGACACCTAAAGTCTTATGCTAATAAAAAAACAAATACAGGGCTGGAGAGAGACTTCAGTGGTTGAAAGCACTGGCTGTTGTTACAGAGGCTCTGTGCTATATAGAGTGTGAGCCCAGCCCATGGCAGCTAACACCTGTCCATGACTCCAGTTCCAGAGCATCCAACACCCTCTTCTGGCCTCGCTGGGCTTTGCGTGCACGGGTGCACTTACATATATCAGGCAAAAACACTCATACAGGTAAAACAACAAAAATCCAAGTCAAGTACTAAGAACTAATAACAGGTACCTACTACAGACCACACTGTCTCAGCAGGTACCTTAGATAACTAAGTCTATGACCTCATGCAGTAGGCATTTTCCCCATTCCTCCATCTGGTGAGATAAGGATCTGGAGCCCAGAACTTAGGCAATTTGTGCAAGGTCACACAGCTGGCAAGCAGAGCAGTCTAGGCGCTTGTGCTCAACATCAGTCATTTATTGAAGTTCTTCAAAACCAGAGATGACTTCAAGGTCCAACTTCTCTGCCCTGGAACTGTGGTCTACAGCCCACCTAGAGCCCCCACCATACTGCTGCCTGGTGACCGCTGCCAGGTGACTGCTGCCCAGTGACTGCTCCCCTGCCCCTGCTCTCTTCCTCTCAGCATTGAATACCTTCTTCCTGAATCAGAGCTCTGATCATGCTCCAGGCCAAAGCCTTCAAATACGCTTTAGGCCTTCACTTCAGCATAAGGATCAGATCTTTAAGATGACACCTAAGGGGAATATAACATTCCATGTACTGTGGAGCTCTAGGACTCTGGGGCCATAAATGAGACCCTAACATGTAACCCAGAAGATCATGGGGATTAATGTGAAATAATGTGTCCAAGTATCCATACTTAGTGCCCAGTTGATAAGCACTCCTTCCTAGGACTTTCCGATGGGAGCACCAGCCTAAAGGGCGGCTTCTTCCCTTAGGCTGGTCCATATGGCATTCTGCTCACATTATAAGGTACTACTCAGCACCTGTGAACCAGCACAGCGAGTACTGAAAGGGACTGTTTTGGTTTTTTTTTAAATATTTTATTATTTTTATTTTATGCGTATGAGTGTATTGCCTACATGTATGTGAGTGCACCCATGTTGTGCAATGCCATGGAGGTCAGAAGAGGGCTTCGGATTCCCCTGGAACTGGAGTCAAGGACGGTTCGTAGCTGCCATGTGGGTGCTGGGAATCGAACCCGGGTCCTCTGCAAGAGCAGTCAGTGCACTTAACCGCTGAGCCATCTCTCCAGCCCCTGAAAGGGACTGTTTGTTATTAACCATCTTTATGATTACTGCATTAAGAAAGGGTTTAGCATAATAAAACTGACATAGTAGGAGACTAGAGAGATGGCTCAGCAGGTAAAAAGTGTATACTGCTCTTCCAGGGGACCTGAGTTTGATTCTCAACACCCTGAGAGCTCACAACCACCTGTAACTCCAGCACTGCACTCACCTGCACAAACCCACAGATATATACACATAATTAAAAATAAAAAGAAAAGAAAAAATATTTTTAATGTACTGAATAAAAGTGACATAGGTTGGAGAGATAGCTCAGTGGTTAAAAGCACTGGCTACTCTTATAGAGGACCCGAGTTCAGTTCTCAGCAACTACGTGACAGCTAACAACTGTCTGTAACTCCAGTTCCAGGGGACACAGCTCTTCTGGCTTCCAAGGGCACTACACAACATGGGTGCACTTACATACATGCAGGTTAAACACTTGCGTTGGATAGCTTTAGTGTCAACTTGACACACCTGGGTTGAGGGAGCCTCTATTGAACTGGCCTGTGGCCATACCTGTAGAGCATCTTCTTGATTGTTGAGTGATGTGGGAGGGCCCAGCCCACTGTGGGTGGTGCCACCCCTGGACAGGTGGACCTACGTGATATAAGAAAGCAGGCTGAGCAGGGGCCAGGAGAAGAAGCCAGTAAGCAGCGTTCCTCCATTGCCTGTGCTCCAGCTCCTGCCTCCAGATTTCTGCCTTGATTTCCTACCTTGGGCTCCCTGATGAACTGTGACCTGGGAGTTGTAAGTCAAATAAACCCTTTCCTCCCAAGTTGGTAGTGGTCAGAGTAGTTGTTTTCCTTTTTTCTTTTTTTTTTTGAGACAGAGTCTCCCAGACAGAGTCTCTAGACCCAGCGGGCCTAGATTTGCTATGGAGACCAGGCTGGCCTCGAACTCAGAGATTTTGCTTGCCTCTGCCTCCCGAGTGCTGGGATTAAAGGCATGCACCACCACGCCCAGCTGGTCAGAGTATTTTTGTCACAGCAATGGAGAAACAAACTAGGACAACACTCATACACATAAAATAAAAATAATAAAATATAAAGAAAACCAAAACAAAATAATGACATAATCAATGCTAAATAAGCAAGTGCTAAGTCAATTTTTAAAATTTACCAAAAACATGCCACTTCTTGGATAAGTGTTAATGAATTCTCCAGAATTAAAAAGAATCTCTATGTTCCATCAGATGTCTGTTTCTTCGGTTACAAACTCTAGGACTTGTCAAGTGTATTTCCCCTCTCCTTTACCTTCAAGTTTATATAAGGAAGGATCCAAAACACTAGGAGTCCCCAGAAGCCATAGGAAAGCTCTGCAGAATGAGTCAAGCACTGACTCTTTAGCAGCATCAAACCAAGGGCAAAGTCTCTTCAGAGGTCTGTGGTTTTCTGATTTTAACATTGATCTTAAGCAATAACAAAAGCTGTATTTTTGTATTTACTTTTTGTTTTTTCAAAATGGGTCTCCTGTTGGTTCTTTTTACCTCCTGCATGCACTGTCTCTACAAGCTGCTGGAAGTGGGCACTTGCTGTTTTCACTGCATTGACCCTCCTGTAGATGGTCCCATAACCTCCTCATGACACCATGGCATAAGGGACTGTGGGTTCCCAATCTAGGAGTGAGCTGCTCTGCACAGGAGTGTTTCCTTCAGTAGATGCTGTCCCAAGCTATCCATCCAGGGGGCCTAACCCACCCTCCCTCCTCTCACTGTGAGACTTTTTTTTCTTGTTTTGTTTCTTTGAGATAGGGTCTCACTAGATAGCCCACACTGGCCCCAAACTCATGATCCTCAAACCTCAGGCTTTTGAGGCTGGGATTCCGGACCTGTACCAATAGTATTATAAAATACTTTAACATTTGATTTGTGGCCTGCTGTAGTTTAGTATTCATTTTCCTGATGATCAACAGGTTGGGCTTTCTCATATTAACAGAACATTAGAAATCCTCACATCAATTTTTGTTTTATTTTATTTTTGAAACGGTCTCCCTGTAGCCCCAGATGGCCTCGAACTAGGTACTGTAGACCAGGCTGGCCTCGATCTCTCAGAGATCTGCCTGCCTCTTTCTCCTGAGCACTGGGATTAAAGGCATATGCCAGCACCTAGGCCATTTTTTTTTTTTTAATGTGTCTGCATGCATGTAAGTTCACCCATGTCATACAATGCCTGTTGTAGGTCAGAAGAGGGCATCAGATTCCTTGGAACTGGCGTTACAGATGATTCTTAGCAGTCATGTGAGTTCTGAGAACTAAGCCTAGGTCTTCTGCAAGAACAACCAGTGCTCTTGATCACTGAGCCGTCTCTCAAATCTCTTTCTTAGTAAACAGTGCAGTAATAAGCATGAATGCACAAGTATCTTTGTGACATGTTGGCTTAGAATCTTTCAAGTCTATACCCAGGAGTGACATGGTGGAGCTGGGTGATACAACAGTTCTATTTCGGGTTTTTGGTTGCGGGGGGTTGTTTGTTTTGTTTTTTGAGACAGGGTTTCTCTGTAGCCCCAGCTGACCTGGAACTCACTACGTAGACCTCACTATATAGAACTCACTACGTAGATGAAGGCTGGCCTCCATCTCACAGCGATCTGCCTGCCTCTGCCTCTGCCTCTGCCTCTTGAGTACTGGGATTGAAGGAGCACAGCTTATTTTTGGCTTTTCTGAGGAACCCCATATTGATTTCCATAGTGTCTGTACCTGTTAATATTTCCTCCAGCCTTGTACAGGCTTCACCTTTCCCTACTACTTTGTAGGCTACTTTAAAAATTAATTTAAAAAGAACTCTTTCCTCCTTAAACAAACCCTCTTTCCCCAAGTTGATTTGGTATGCTGGTGCGGCCTCTCAGCTTACCTGGTTCGAATCAAAGCAGCGCACGCTGTCATCTGAGCCTCCACCCACATCGCTTCTCTTCCAGCTGACAGACAGTTCTGAGTATTTTCTGCTTTCTCAACCTTCCCTCGATGGCTGCTATTTGCTCCCGTGGAAAACACCGAGCTCTCAGGCAAGGTTTCAGGCAAACTCAAAAGACAGTCTTCTCCCAACGAGGATTTGATAGCTTTGTCATTCAAGGAGAAATGTTTCTGTTGCCGAGATGACGCACATGATGCTGGTAGAGCTGGCCCCAGACTCAGATAAGCCTTTGCCAGTTTGTGCCAGATCCAAGGATTCAAAGGATGCAAAGAAATCAGTTTTTGCAGGCAGAAAATTGTCTTCTCCAAGTTCTGCAAACTTGAACAAACAGCAAGCTGGAGGTAGAGCACAGTAGTTAAATGGTCTGTGTTGGTTGCTTTATTTTCCTAAGGAGAAAAAAATGTGAAAAACCCTTGAGCTACTGTGGGAATGACTTTTATAAATGGGTATAATCTAGACTAATAAATTTTAATTAAGTCCAGCAAAACCATGTGTTCTTGTGCCTTGTGACCTGGGCACCTGATCTCATCTCTTTGACAACCTCAGTTTGGTACTCCACTCTGAAAAATAATGAATGAATGTGCTTGAGAATGAATATATGGAAGCACCGAAAGCCATGCAACCATCTCCATTGCATACGGTGGAGACTGGGAAGGATGTGACCTTGGGTGAATGAGATATTCTAGAACTAGCGATGAAAAAGCCAATGGTCTGTTAAGATTAGGTGAAGTCAAGCTTCTACTTCCCCTATTGAAGCTGAAACTTCAATAGAAGAAACAATTTTGAATAAAATCACAGGTAGGGTTGAGCTCCAGGACACGGTTCCAGAAACATGGTTTCAGAGAGAGAGCTCCATCAGCACAGTTCCAGGAGACAGATGGTTCCAAGAGATCTCTAGGGGAAACAAGTGTCCTCAAGTTCAGGCCCACTTAGGCACCAAATCCTTTTAAATTCCATGTACTTTTAATAAGATGATGCTGTACAGCAGTCTCTTCTGCATGAAATAGCTACCATAATTATGACTTCAGCTGTGCCTGATCTCTAAACATCATTACAACTGGGTTTGTTGTCAGTTGTGCTCATTCATTAAAGGAGGGCCAAACAGGGTCATCAGACCCTCACCGGAGTATCCAGCCATCAGCCCAGCCAACTGTATGTAATTTGGCCCTAATCACACATGGTGTCCAGGATTTGGGGAGGCTAAATTATACAATCTGGGGAAGGCTAGGAAGAGAAGGCATGACCCATGCTGGGTAAAAGCTTTCCAGTGTGCATACCCTCAGGTCATACATATACCTCAGCAACCCCTCAGTTAGCTCAGTAAGTAAGCTCAGTAAATTCATTGGTTCCCCAGTAAAACTTTAATCAAACATTGGCTTGACCATAGAACTTAAAAGGGAATAAGCATTGCTTATTATCCCCAGGAAAAGAATTCTCACAACAGATGGAAAATTGGTTAATGCTATTATGTCTCATACTTACTTAAAAGAGAAAGAAAACGAGAATGTAAAAGATGTTAAAAGGTTATGGGAATGGAAATATTTTCCAAAATAGAAAAAATGAGAAAGCCTAAGCAAGTGATGATGGTCTGTGTAGGTTTGTTATATAAAGAATGAGACAAAAATAAAATACACATAATCTTAAAATTTCTAAGGTCATAGTTTAGTCAAGTGGTTTAAGGAACATATGTATCTAGTCAAGGTTTATCTGAGAATATTTGTTTTTTTACCCAAGCTTCTATCTACACAGCACATGATAATTAAAAGTACCAGACTGGTAGAACTAACCTTATTGGATGTTTGACAGTCATACTTTGAGGCCTATACTAATGTGGTCAGAGGGACTTAAAGGACAGTTTTTGCTCCTTGCCCTCCTAGGTCAACTAGTTCCAGGGGACTATGAGCATCTCTCAAAATGTCCTGTAACTGTGGTGAGTCACCTGTCCTCTTGTTCAGGAAGGACATGGAGACCCCATGAGATGGACTTGAACCAGTGTCCAGTCTACAAAGAGGAGGGTCAACTCAGAGGAAACATCTCATTCATGCTTCCAAATGAAGCCAGACATGGTCAAACAGGATCTTTGACTTATCTTCACATATACAGAACTGGTAAAAGAAAGGTGCCAGGAGTTCCTTCCAAGCCCATGTGACCCCTGAGGAACAAATCCTCAAATGGTCTTAAGAGTAAAAATAAATTGGTTTATCTGGGCCAACTGTAGAGTCTTAAACACCCAAAAGGAAAGTATAACCAAAATTAATGGGGTCAATATAATTTTTAAGAGTCCACATGTATAGCTAAAAGCTACATAACAAGAAACAATGCCAGACAGGAGATACCTTCCTTTGAGCTGTTGGTCAGGGTGGCCTTTTGTTCCCAACCAGAAAGTGCTGCTCAGGTGTAAGACTTCAAATCTTGGCCTCCAATACTGTAGTGCCCACCTGTAGCTAAGGGAGACAACCAGCTATTGTTCTAAAACAATGGATAAATTTGTTTTCTCCCCCTATCTAGAAGCCTTTGAGAGGGAACCGACACTGATTCTAACCACTTCAACAGCTATCAAAATATCTGAAAGCAAATCCTAAATCCATCACTCTCCGAGTCCAGCCTTGGAAGACAAAAGAAAAATGAGGAGGAACCCAATAGAGGGATGCTTTTGGAAGCCCTTGTCAAGAAATTCTAATGGACTCTCATATGAACATTTGAAAATTGCCCTGTTCTGACTTTTTTCTAGTTCCCTGTCTAGAACTTGTAATGCTAATTAATTACTCTTGCCTTTACTTCTCCTTCACATCTCCTATTTACTATTCAAAGACTTTCATTTCCTCCTTAATATAAGAGTTATTCGACTTGGGAGTCTTTTAGATAGACCTATTGAAGGGGTACTCCAATTGCCTCACCCTACATCCCTGTTCAGCATGGAAGAAGCCAGAGCGGTCTGTGTCCCAATTCCCTATCCACAAGTTGGGTAACCCCTTCAGAGCATGATAAGAATGGGAGATAGGAATTGGCTAGGCAGTTAGAGTAAAGAGACACCAAAGAAAAGTAGCCAGTTTCTTGGCTAAAAGTCACAATGTCCTTGGACCTCTTAGCAACACACTCCATTCCAAAGGCCAAAAATGCAGAAAGTATTTGTGAGTTTTTATCTGATCCTTAAAAGATTTTAGGGTTACCTCTTCAGAGGGGGGAATGTTAGAGTAGTCAAAAGGCCCATTGGGAAAAAAAAAAAAAAAACAAGAAGGAGTACATGAAGCCGTCAGAAAAAAGTGATGGGGAGAAATGGGAAGAGTTAGAGGGGAGGGAGTGGGCATGGATTTGATCAAAATACCTTATATGCATGTATGAAATTCTCAATAAATTATTTAAAAATAAATAAATTTAAGAGTTAAGCTATTTGTCCAGGTGATCCTAATGTCAGCACAGTACTCCTGCAAGCTACAAAATGTTTTCCAGATAAAAATGAACATACCTAAAAGCCCAAGTTGTACTGTTATAAATTAGAAGTACTTTCAAATAGCTATGCAAGTCAAAGAACTTAATACACTTTAACAGATTTCATGTTTGAAACCATAAACCTAGTGTTAGGGTTCCAAAGAGCAGCAGTTTCCCCCCTCCCCAACAGGGACCTCACCTTGACCTTTGGAGTCAAGGGAAACAAACTCTGCTGAGAAGCAGCCTGCCTTTCCTCTGACCTCCAAAGATAAGCAGATTCTACCTGATAACCAGAGATTTTAGAAGCTGTTTTTCTCTCATCTTAAGAGGGAAAAAGTAAACACTTCCACACCCTAATCCTACCTGCTTCCCCCTCCCTGATTTCTCCCCCAAACATTCCCCCCTTCCACACCCTAAAGCCCCCATATATAAAGTCCCAGCTCACAACCTGTGGGCGGACATCCTATCCTATCCTTCCCTTTTCCCTTCCCTTTTCCCTTTTCCCTTTTCCCTTCCCTTCCCTTCCCATCCCATCTTTCCCTTCCCTGAGGGAAAGGTGCCCTGTGCAAAATAAATCTGTATCCCACTGAGAATTCCATCTGTGCCTCGGTGCCTTCCTCCATCCGTGCCGCTCGCTCCCACCCGCTCTCTACCTATCAGATGGTGCCAAAACCCGGCTCTTACTTCAAGGGACCTCGCACGTAAAACTTTCGGACTCGCTTGTCGTTACTGGCCTCTGCGAACACCACTAATTCAGCATTAAGGTACACTTCCACCCTCTATCTCTATCCCCTCTCCCGTTCCTTTCAGCTCTCTCTCCCTCTCTCCCTCTCTCTCTCTCCCTCTCTCTCTCCCCTTTCCCCTTCACTACTCTCTGCCCGTTCTCTTTTCATCTCC